GCTTGCTTCTATAGTGCCTTGCATTACAAATTAGTAAGCATGCACATGCATTGTCATACTCTTTGCATTATATTTCTTGTGCTCTAATAATTATAAGCAAGTGAATGTGGACAGAGATTGGGTGGAATAGTCCAGCCAGTTGCTGAATGATCTTGAAGGACCAAAGACAGTATATACATACAAGATTTTTTGTTTATTTAATATATATTTGTAACACATGCATTTTGCTAATGCTGGTGACATAACTTTCTTTACAGTATCTCTAGCAACTGTTGAAACTACAGTTTTATTTTACGAGAGGGTAACATCTGCTTTTCATCCCTCTGATCACGAATATCCACACCCGTCAACTTGAGAATATGTATACTAGTACCCCAGGACCTACTTAATAATTAGCACAAGTTAAAGTGGCTCTGTCACCCCAAACTTTTTCTCCTATTTCCTCTTTTCTTCCAGAATGTTTTTCAGTTCTGATCTATTTCTCTTTAAAACATAAGACAAAGTAATTGTTACCATCTCTTATGTTCTTTTTTTCATATTCTTAACAAATCTTGAATAAGGATGGACAAATTAAGTGGAAGGTGCCTTAAGCTCACCCTTTGTCAAGCATAGGGAAAATACCCAAGAGAAAGTATTGCTTACTTTCTTACGTATAAAGAGTAATAGATCAGAAAACACAGATTCCGAAAGAGGAAATAATAGGAGTAAGGCAAGTTTGAGGTGACAGAGCCACTTTAAATACACAATTCTTGGCTAAATACTGAAAAAAATTTAATAAAACTTTATTTTCAGTGACCCTATATAGTGGACCGACTACAAAACTAAATCACCAGAGCATAGTGTGTATGTTTAAACAAATGAGAGAAAAGTTATGGTGGGTTTAATAAAGGATATTTACACTATCAACCACAGGGAAATTTTATCAGTCCCGATCTTTCTTAACCCCTTAAGGACGGTTGACGGACAAGGTCCGTCACAGAAGGGAAACCCTTAATGACGAGTGACGGACTTCGTCCATCACGCGGTAAAATTAACCCCGGATCGCGGGGTTAATGGTGCTCCGGTATGCCTCTACATTAGAGGCTGCCCAGCACATGTGCTCGCTCTGACCGCAACTCAGACCGAGCACATGTGCTCTGTATACTTACCTTCCGGCTCCCTGCACTTCTTGGTTCTGTGTGAAGTGCAGGAAGCCGGAACAGTGCTGATCCTGCCTCCTGCTGTTAAAAAAAATAAATAAAGTTAATTTAAAGTCCTCCCCCCCGCCGCCTTTACCCATTTTAATAAAAAATTAACCCCTTCCCTGCCAATTGATCACTGACTACAGTGATCAATTGGCAGGGATTACATTTTACTGTCATCTGATTTATTTTTTTTAACCCCTGAGGGTTAATTCTTTTTTTTTTTTTTTTTCCTCAGGGGTTAAATTAATTAAATTATTTTAAAATTATATATTTAGCTAGCTGGGGTGGGTGGAAGTTAGTGGGGAATTGGGGGATTTGGCGTTAGGCTAACTAGGGGTTAACGTTAAAAAAAGTTTTAAAAGAAACTTTAAAAAGTTAAAAATTAAGCTTAAAAAAATGTTTTAATAACGTTTAAGTAAAAAAAAAACCTTTACCTAGTCCAAATAAAAATTAACCCCTTCCCTGCCAGTCGATCACTGCCTACAGCGATCAAATAGAGATCACAGTATTATACTGTGATCTAATTTTTTTTTAACCCCTGAGGATTAACTTTTATTTATTTTTTAACCCTCAGGGGTTAAATTTATTTAATTAATTTAAATATTTTATAACTATATATTTTGCTAGCTGGGGTGGGTGGGAGTTATGGGAAAATGGGGAATTTACTGCTAGTTAGGGGTTAACAGTAAAAAAAAAAAGCTTAGAAAAGTGTTAAATCTGTAAAAGTTTAGGAAAGTTTAAAAAAAATTAATAAGCAAAACAAAAGTTTAAAAACTAGTTTTTAAAAGTAAAAAAGTTATAAAAAGTAAAAAAATACATTTTAAAAACGCTCGTTACCACTACACCTGGAACAAACTAGAGAAAAAATTATCCCACGCCAAGGTTCAAAATATGCATTTTGAATTACCCCAGGGTGTATTCTTTAATAAATAGTATGTGTTTGTGGGGAAGTTTCAATAACCAACCGTCTAAACTACTCCAAATTGGAACATGGACACAGCGTAAAACTTCAAAGTTAGAAAAAAACTGGCTGCGTCTCAAATGCGCCCCTTCAACATCCACATATACCTGGCAAAGGTACATACGGGGGTATTGCGGTACTCAGCCGACATAGCTGAGCAACATATGAAGTATTATACACCCTGGGGTGTCTACTTTAAGAAATGGTAGGCCTTTGTGGGGTAGTTTGAATTTAAAACCTGCGAAGATGCTTGGAAATTGCACATAGGCCCAGCGTCAAAATTCAAAGTTTGGTAAAAACAGATATGGCTTGGTCTCCTATATGGCACTGTAGCTTCACGAAATAGTGCCAAAGACATTCATTGGGGGGTGTCTTTTTACTCAGAAGACTTAGCTGAGCATAATTTGGGGGGATTGAACTTAGTGGCACATATGAAATATACAAAATGCCCAGACAAAATGCAATCCGTATGTAAAAAAATGCACAAAATTATTTTTTACCGCATACTTTGGCATATATTGGTGAAAAAATGGGGGTATGTTAAGGCACAATATGCACCTTATGAGATACCCTGGAGTGTCTACTTTTACAAATGGTAGGCCTTTGTGGGTTTTTTTTGAACAGTCAAACTGTTATAATACCCCAAAATGGAAGCTAAGGCTCATTAAATCCATCTCTCAAAATTCTACTGTGAATACTGAAAAGGACAGGTATCCTGTATGGCACTGTAACTTCACGAAATAGTGCAAAAGACATACAATGGGGGTGTCATTTTACTCAGCAGATGTAACTGAACACAAAATAAAACTTTGTACAGGAATAGCACACACCAACTTTACAAAATATACACGAGAATTTCTCTGTTATAAGTTTGTGTGCCAAAAACCAAAAAAAACACAATTTTACTCCAATATTTAGCAGAGGTTGGCGGTGAAATGGCTACATAGAAAGTGTCAAAACAACCTTAGGTAAATAGCCCGTGATGTCTACTTTATATAAATATATACTTTTGTGTGGCAATTTTGTTTTCTTTTATGGCTATTAAGCTTACAAGACAAACAAACATACCAAATTCTAAAATCGCTCCACATTAAAAGTCTATTTTACTCCTTGTGCTTTGTGACCTGTAACTACCAAAAAAAACTTAAAATCCCAGACACATTATATATTCTGTAAATCAGAACAAGTAAATGAATTTATTTTTAATTACTTTTCTTAACCTGCACTAATTATGCACACATTATTATTGCAAAAACTGTAAAAAAAAAAAGACAAAATTTTCATTTTTTTTTAATTTTTCTGTATTTTTTTTATAATAAATAAGTGTGTGTGTGTGTGTGTGTGTGTATGTATATGTATATATATGTGTGTGTATATATATATATATATATATATATATATATATATATATATATAATGTTACATCAAACTAAAGCCCTTTCTGTCCTTTAAAAAGTGATGTATAATATGTGTTGGTGCAACAAATTAGTAAAATGCAAATTGCAGTTGAACGCAAACAGCAAAAAATGAAAAAAATGCCGTTGTCATTAAATGAAAGACAAGCTTTTGAAGATCTGTCCTTAAGGGGTTAATGGTAGCTAATGTTTATGTTTTAAATTTTTATTTTATGAGCTTAGATCCAATGCATTCTAAACCTGAAAAAATACAGGTGCTGCTGTTTTGCATGGATAAAATTACATAATTTAAGAAATTAATATATATATATATTTTTTTTAAATTTTTTATAATACTCTGGTGGCAAGTCTCTGAGGTAAGAAGACTAGGAAAGATGGCAGAAGAATTACAAAAATCTTCATACAGCAGTTTGACATCTATGTAAGATATTTAAGGAACACTGTAGACACTATAATTCTTTCATCTCATTGAATTGATTCTAATGCTCGAAGACCACTGGCACAGTCCCTCCTTTCATCTTTCAGTGTTAAACCATTTTTGAGCAGTCCCTGGCCCTCACTGGATATATAGTTAAGTAGGGTTTGGAACTGCATTCTGTCCCAAGTAGTATGTAGCTGGGTGCAACTAGGACAGTCCTAATACCAGAGACCAAATACTAAGTAACAAATAGAAGAGAGGTCCAGGCACTCCAAGGTACAAACCAGGCAATTTTATTGAACCCGCTCCATCATGAAGCTTGACAAAGACTGTGTAGGTCGAAACATTGTGATGGAGTGGGTTCAATAAAATTGCCTGGTTTGTACCTTGGAGTGCCTGGACCTCTCTTCTATTTGTTACTGGATATATAGTTAAGGCAGAGATTAAACACTTCCTTCTATTATTATTATTGGTATTTATATAGCCAACTAATATTATGAAATGAGACAATTACACAGTGACACAAGAACAATAGCTAGATGAGTGACTTGCTCAAATGAGCTTACAGTCTCGAGTTATAAAATGTAAAATGAATAGAATTCTCCTACAGAAGTATACCAAGTGTGACATATTACCCTGGCAAGATCCAGGTAAGTGGTCAAACTATACTATAACTGTTTAATTGCTTAATGTGGGACAGTGCCAGGGCACTCCTGGCACCATAAGCACTAGAGCAGGCTCGTGCCCGGTATTATTCCTTAAAGGGGCTAGGGGTAGACATAAATTAATAGGAGTGGAGAAAAGGATGTGTAGTTACTGGTCAGAACCCTGCTCCTCTTGTATTTATGTCCCTCATCTTCCATTCCCAGTCCTTCCCCCAGCCCACCCCTTCCTTGCCTTATTATTCCCTCCAATCACATGCCCCACGTACCAGTGTAGTCTGCGCCAATAAAGTTATAGTCAGATGGTGCTTGGAGGACCCCCCTCTGCTTAATTCTCTCACATCCATTAGGATGTTTTACCACCTCAATGCCAGGATCCACCCACGGGCCGGCTGCCTTACACACTTGGCTAGGTGAAGAGAGTAGCTGGTTTCTCTCCCATCCTGACTCCAGAGGCACCTCTCCCCTTATTATCCTGCAGGTAACACACCAGCTATTCCTCCTTGTCTTACCTAACTTTAACTTCCCAAATTTGTATTTATTTTTTTTCCCTATCATTTTGCTGTTCGCCAAAGGACTGAACTCTGCAAACAAAATGTGCACCCTAATGATAGCCACTACCCCACTATTTTTGTGTCAATCCATTTGTCAACAGAAGTCCTCTTCCAAGCTTATTCGGAACTGGCACACCCTGATGGCAAGTTCCTGCTTGTAAAAGAAACGACGATTAATCAATCAAAATTCACATTTGCCAATTTTTACTTTCTAAACAAAGGGCAGAGTCTCTTAGTCAAAGACTGGGATTATAACATCCCATTAGACCCAAAAGCGAATATATCTTACCTCCCAGGCCAACTGCTTCTCCGTGACTTTAAATCAGTAGACTGCTGGCACACTCTAAACCTAGCAGTCAAAGGCCACACTTTTTATTCACATCCACACAAATCTTCCCAAATAGATTATTTTTACCCTACAGACATCTACATAACTTACCATGCCCCAGTCAAGATCACAATTACCTTTCCTACTTCCCACCCAAATACAATGGTCATGGAGACTGAAAAAAAATCATCTTGGATGATCCAATAGTGAAAGCAGACATATGCACCACAGTGGCCTGGAAATGAACACCAGCAACACCCACCTGCAACAAACTTTTTAATCGACGCGCGATGATATTTGGGGCATAAATTAAATGGAAAAAATAACAAGCACAGGAAGTATCAGACCTTCTCCTAAAAAAAAAAAAGCTCAGCTGGAAACACAACAAACATGCTCCTTTTTCTCACTTCCCAATACAACTCGCTGAAGATATCAAAAAGATATAATTTGCAGTTTAAAGGGACACAAAAGTCACCAGAACTACAGCTTATTGAATTTGTTCTGGTGAGTAGAATCATTACCTTCAGAGAAAATGCAGTGTTTACATTACAGCCTAGTGATCACTGGCCACTCCTCAGGTGGCTGTTAGAGATCCTTCCTGGGTCATGGCTGCCTAAAATGCATCCAAACATTCAGTATTTCCTCCCTCTGCATGCAGACACTGAACTTTCCTCATAGAGGTTCATTGATTCAATTAATCTCTATGAGGAGATGCTGATTGGGCAGGGCTGTGTTTGAATCATGCTGGCTCTGCCCCTGATCTGCCTTTTTGTCAGTCTCAGCCAATCCTATGGGGAAGCACTGTGATTGGATCAGGCTACCACTTCTGATGATGTCAGCAGACTGCTTGGGTTTGTTTGTTTTTTAGGCAAACAGGATGCAGAGTTACAGCTTCAGGCTTGAATACAGTAAGATTTTGCTATATTTATGAAGGCATGAGGGGCCCAGGGGGGCTAGATTGTTGTTTTAACACTATAGGGTCAGGAATACATGTTTGTGTTCCTGACCCTATAGTGATCCTTTAAATTATCACATAAATAATTTTACGAAAATGGCAATAACAGTAGGCCGTTGCTGTCTAGAGTGTTGAGAGAACCCAGAAAAAAAAGACATGTCAGAATGATAAACCATGCAAGCAAAACCCATTGTGAGCGTAAAGGTGGAATAGTGGTTGATGGGAGATACATCAGACCTGATTTGCTAAACAGCAACCAGAGGATTTTCAGTTAAATGCCCCAGGGAGAGATGTTAGAGTTTGCAATATGCATAGCTGATGCTCTGCAAAACATGGTAAGGGTCCCTGGGGCGGAGTATTTGGAGAGCAGGGTGGGCCAATGCTCCAACAGCACTAGTTGCTGTATAACAGACCACAGCTTGGATCTGATTTTAAGAGTTAACTAATTGGCACTCACCTGTAGCTACTCAATTAGTAGACAGGCCTTTAAAAGAAGAGAACAGCCTGCTGCAGAGTGAGGGAGAAAAAGACAGCTAGGAGAGATTGTGTGTATTGCAAAGACATTTCTTTTGTTTGGAAAATTGGTAAGTGGGAAAGCCACCCAATTGCAGATAGCAATTACTGTCTAGTAAGAGCTCAAGTAAGAGCAAGGGATTTTGTTTGTTTTGTTATTATTTAAAGCACCTGTTTTCTTGCTGAATAAAAAGGAAAACCGAGCTGAATGTGTCCTGGACTTTGTATACCCTAGAAGGCTGTGGTTACTGCAAGATCTGTGACAATCCTACCTGTAAAAGAGGTGGTTTGTTACACCATGTAACACCCACAGATATTGTAGAAGGCTTTTGCAAATACTTTATTATACAACCTGGGTGCAACTCCAACACAAAACCCTGACTACTTACACTCGTATGTAAAAAAAAATTTTTTTAAATGTCTGTCAAACATTGAAACTGCAGATTTTTTCCAACGTAGAAAGTACTATAAAACGTATTTTGACTTATTAGCGTCACACCAATTATGCATGTTTAATGCTATACATGAAGGCAGCTCGCTACAAGCAGACACTTTGAAAACATACATAGTAATCCTCCCTAAACAACGGAAGGACCCATCACTTTGTTCCAGTTGCAGACCAATCTCCTTTTTGAAATCAGATATATTTACAAAAATCTTAGCTCTCCAGTACAATCCCATATGCCCAAACTGATTCCTCTGAACCAAGTGGGATTTGTTCAAGTTAGCAAAGCATGCAATAACCAACCAGAGTGTTAAACCTGATCTATGCAGCAACCAGACGGGGGGTTCCCTATCTTCTGGGAAAAGGTGTTTGACGGGGCTGATTGGTCTTTCCTATTTATAGTTCTACAAAAAAGAACCCAACATGCTAGCCTGGATTGGTGATCTCTGTTCAAAATCAACAACACAAGTCTATGTTAACAGTGTGCTGTGCTGGCCTTTCAACAGCAAAAACTAAACTAGGCAAGGATGTCCCCTGTCACCCCTATTGTTTGTATTAAGTCTATCTTTGGCTTCTTTATCCACTGATCGTAAAAACGTTTGTGGATAAAGAAGCCAAAGAAATTCAAAATAAAAAAAAAGACACATTCAAACTGCTCGGCTAGAGATAAAGAAATCATCACCTCCTTTTCAAAAGATAAGAACATCATTATCAGACCAACGGACAAGGGGGCGTCATAGTTATTCAGAACTATGCGGATTACCGTACGGAAATTTTAAGACAACTGGCAGACACAGACACCTACCTGAAAATACCCAAGGATCCAACAGAACAACTACAGAGTCATCTGGAACATATATTCCAAAGAGGACTAGAGGCTAACTATATCACCATGGAACACACTGGCATATCTAGCACGGTCACAGCTGCGACCAGTTCCGGCCGCCCTGCAATCCGGGTATGTACTCCAGTGTGGCCACAGGCACCCCGAGTCTGGCGGTAGCGTCACTTGGTGGGTGGGTGGGCGGGCATGCGCGCGGGAGCATTCTCCCCTGAGCTCTCTCTGCCCAGCTAAGCACCAACTTCGTATAATTGTTTCGCCACTTGAGGCGAAACAAGGGGAAAAATTCCTTAACACAAAGATTAATCATTGACCTGTCAGCACCCCAATTCCTAGTCTGAACTCACTGATCTCTTCAGAGGAGTTTTTCCTACAGTACGCTACCATTGACAATGCCATTGCAGCTATCATTAAAGCGGGGGTAGGAGCATGGGTTAGTAAGACAGATATTGTCAACGCTTTCAAACTGCTACCTATACATCCTACACTCTGGCACCTACATGGCATTAAATGGAAAGGCTGGTACTATTTTTTTCTCACGACTAACTTTTGGATCAAAGAGTAGCCCCAAAATCTTTGACATTTTTGCAGAGACATTATGTTGGTTACTCCTGAACATAAATAGATGCCGCACAGTAGATGACTTTCTTATAGTCGAAGTGAAAACCCTTCTCCCAAGTAGTCTCGGGGAAGCCATCAGCCTCTTTGACCAATTAGGAATTCCAGTATCTCCAAAGAAAACTGAAGGCCCGGACACTATCATTAACTTCCTAGGCATTCAATTAGATTGCAATTCCATGCAGGCAAGCTTACCGCAGGACAAAACAGGAACATACTCACATGTATCAATCAATATCTTCATTTAGGTTCCTGCAATCGTAAAGAATTGCAATCACTATTAGGTTCCTTAAACTTTGCAATGCAAATTATTCCCCAGGGGCACGCATTCATATATAGATTGCTTTGTCTCTTCCCACATTTTTTTCAAAGACGATAGCTGACTTAAAGGACCACTATAGTGCCAGGAAAACATACTCGTTTTCCTGGCACTATAGTGCCCTGAGGGTGCCCCCACCCGCCCGGCTCTGGAAAGGGGAAAAGGGGTTAAACTTACCTTTTTCCAGCGCTGGGCAGAGAGCTCTCCTCCTCCGATCCTCCTCTTCTCCTCCCCGTCGGCTGAATGCGCACGCGCGGCAAGAGCTGCGCGCGCATTCAGCCGGTCACATAGGAAAGCATTCATAATGTTTTCCTATGGACGCTGGCGTGCTCTCACTGTGAAAATCACAGTGAGAAGCACGCAAGCGCCTCTAGTGGCTGTCAATGAGACAGCCACTAGAGGATTAGGGGGAAGGCTTAACCCATTCATAAACATAGCATGTCAAACTAATCTTTCTCTGAAACTGCTATGTTTATGAAAAAATGGGTTAACCCTAGCTGGACCTGACACCCAGACCACTTCATTAAGCTGAAGTGGTCTGGGTGCCTAGAGTGGTCCTTTAACCTAGATGCCCAAGCCACAGCAGACCTACTTATGTGGCAGAGTTTCCTAATCTCATGGAATGGAAAGAACATGTTCCTCCCAGAATTGTCAAAGAATTCACCAACCATTTGGTCAGACGCAGCGTCTACCACGGGCTTTGCAGCCATCTATGGGAATGAATGGCTTTGGGGTAGCTGGCCTGCGGAAATCCAGAATTTGGAAGGTTTTCCCACTACCAAAGCCCTATTCGAGATTTACCCCATTGTAGCGGCTGCTGTGACTTAGGATCATTTGTGGTCAGGTTATTCAGTTCGTTGTTACTCAGATAACCAAGCCACATGCCACATTATTAACAAAGGCCGCTCATCATCTTTAACGATAATGACTTTTCTCAGGAAATTAACCTGGCTAGCGGCTTGTCACCAATTTTTCTTGGCATGCATTCATATACCAGGGGTCTGTAATATTGCAGCTGACAGTTTGTCTCGATTTAAATTCCAGGCATTTCACCAAGATCTGCCCACTACCGCTTAAGTAGCCACAGCTGCCCCCTTGTTTCAGAATCTGTTCATGGATTAGATATCCTTTTGCAACACAGCCGTAAATGAT